TTTGGGTGGAGATGACCCTCCGGCCTCCGCGCCGCTCTTGATCGTCCCCCTGCAGTTGGCACGTCGGACCCAGCTGCGACCCCTCCAATCAACGGGGCACGCTCGCACCCCCAGCCTGCCGCCACCCCAGGATTTCGCCCCTCGCCGCACCCGCTTCAACACCATCGCCCTCCTCGCCGCCCTCATCTCTGGCCCCCTATCCAGCTTTGATGAGGAGTGTCGTGCCCAGGTGAACGACAACCTGGCCAAGAGGGGCATCACGCTGCACCCTGGGGAGCTGCCCACAAAGTGAGGCCGGGGGTGCATCAGCTGGGTGGCTGGGGGGTGTCTGGGCAGCTGGCTGGGCGGGGGGCTCGGTAGTGTGTTGGTGGCTGGCTGGTTGGTGTTCTGGTGGTTGGCTGGATGGGTATATGGGTGGTGTGTTGGTGGCTGGCTGGGTGGTGTCACGGTGGGTGTGCGGGGTGGGTGTGCGGCTTGGGTGCGCAACAGGCTCCTCCAGGAATACAAGCTGCCCACTGCTACACACAAGGAAATCTGCATGGCAATCGGCGTACAGCACCCCGTAATTGCTCAAGCTCACTCAAAACCCGAGCTCTGCATAAACAACCGTCCTCACTTGCACCGAGGCATCTGTCGCCAGCCCCAACCCGTGAGGCACCGAAGCTGATCGCCGACGCCGGCACGCCCTAACCACTTTCACCCCTGGCTTGGCTTTCACCCCCGGCTTGGTTTTCACCCCGCACTGCGCCCCCCAGGATCGAGAAGCTGGCCGAAGACCACTACGCGGTGACGTGCAAGAAGTCTGGGGGCTCTGAGGAGCGCGTGCTGGAGGTGGGGCTGGTGATGATGGCCACGGGGCGCAAGCCCAAGACGGCGGGCGTAGGCCTCGAGGTGAGTGAGGGTTGGCACGCGTCTGTGGGTGCGGGCGTGTGTGGTTACTGCGCGTTTGTGTTTTAGAGAGGGATTGTGCGTGTGTGTCACTTCAAAGTGTATGTGTGTGTTTGTGTGTATGTGTGCGTGTGTGCGGGCACATGCACGGCCATGGGCGCGGTTGCACCTGGAAGTTGACCGTCTTCGTTTTGTAGACGAGTGCGCTCAGGTCGGAGTGTGGGGGTTCGGGGTTAGATAAGATGGAGGTTGCATCCAGGGTGGCATCTGCCAGCAAGGCAGGGTGGACTCCTGCCAAGCTGCTGCCGACATGTGGATGCACTCTGCATCAGAAGATGCCCGCCTTACAGGGCAGGAGCCATGTGCGTTGCCCGCACGTCGCTCGGCGCGGCTGTAACCATGGACCGCTACGTTTATGCACGGGGCATTAGGAGGCTGGATGCTTGAGGCATCACAATTTGTAGCTGCTGAACCCAACACTCATGCCATGTCCCATGCAGGACGTGGGTGTGGAGCTGGCGGGTGACGGGTCCATCAAGGTGGACGAGTTCAGCCGCACCAACGTGCCCAGCGTGTGGGCCATCGGTGATGTCACCAACCGCATCAACCTCACGGTAGGTCACGACATGGGGTTGGGGACAGGGCAAGGGGGCCGGCCTAGTAAGGTCGGCAGCCGCGACGGCAGGTCCCCCCCCCCCCGGCCACCCGCGTCCCACCGGCCCTGTGCACGGTGCACGGTGCACGGCTGCAGCAATGAGCACTTCTTGCGTGCTCACATTTTTGGGCCTGCTCCTGTGCCACATATATTGTACCTGAGCACGCTTGTAGGCCTCCTTTACCCTTGATTACACCCCTCTATCCGCCTTCCCCAGCCTTCTTTCATCCCCACCCCCTATACACATCCCGCACACAAAATCACTCATGCAATAGTACACACATACATGTACAATCCAAACATATTTACACAAGATCCACAAACATGTTTTCACACGTACACACACACAACCAATCCGCACGCAGCCCGTGGCCCTAATGGAGGGCATGGCCCTGGCCAAGACCATTTTTGGAGGGGAACCCACCAAGGTATGCCCCCGGCTTGACAAAACCCTGTTTCACACATCTGAGAACGGAGCGAGCTCCGGACAGCCAACGTGCACCAGGCAGCAACACGTGGGCGAGCTCGACCGGCCCAACTGCACAAGTCCAGCCGACCCGGGCGGGTTGCGCGCCAGTACAGGCCCTGCCCTGTCAGCAACTCTCACACTCAATCTATTTTCCAACCTGACCCACCCCAACCATTCAAACTGCCCCAACCGCTGCCGACCGCAGCCCGACTATCAGTTCGTGGCCAGCGCGGTCTTCTGCCAGCCGCCCCTCGCATCCGTCGGGTGCGCGCAGCTCGCACCTTGCAGCTTTCCTGCGGGCCTGCCCCTGACAGTGTGGGGTCCGTCAAGAGGCCTGCCTGCCTGGCTGCACCCCCGCATGCCGCACTCCCGCCGCTCTCCAAGCCGCCCATCCGCCTGCCACCACCTCTCTAGCGCCATCTGGCCATGCATTGCGCGCTGCGGTCCGCTGCCCTGCACTCCTGGCCACCTTGGATCCCGCTGCCACCCCCCTACCCATTCACATCCCCTGACATCACCCCCGCCCCCCTCCCCGTGGCCGCCCGCGACGCGCGCCCCAGGTACTCCGAGGAGGAAGCTGTGGCGAAGCTGGCCGGCCCCGTGGACGTCTACTCCAGCAAGTGGGTGGCTCGGGCTCTGCGGACGAGGGCGAGGCTGGACGCAACGCACCCACGGTGCCCGCCCTCAGTCTTTGGGGTTTGCTGCATGATGTCACGTCAGATTGTGGGGGCTGTTGAGCGTGGAGCCGCAGAGAAGAAGCCGTAGTTCCTTGATGTCTCACGTGCAGCGCCACGGCCAGCTTTCTGGTGCCAAATCACATTGACTCTTGGGTGGGTCACGGGGGCATCAAGGCTCCCGCTTGACCCACCCCCATACCTCCCCCACCCCCTCACGGAAACCACCACGCCCGGCCCTCACACGCGCCCCTCCTCAAAGCAACCACTAGCCCGTCCCCCTGCCCTGGCCCCCAT